ACCGGAATCGAACCTGGGACCTTTCAGTCCGCAGGCTGACACTCTATCCACTGAGCCAAACCGGTTTCGGCCCTTTTTAAACTTTTAAAATCAGGATCTAAGCCCATTGATTTAGACTTGTTATATTTTACTAGGGAATTGAACTTTTTATCATTATCCTTTTTATTTCTAGTAATGCTTTGTTGTAAAGTCTGTTTTATCTAATATTACTGTAGCTACTTCTACATTTTAGGATAATATTTACCCTAAATTTTTAAAACCTTTTACTTTAAAATTTTCTCTGTCTTTATGATTTGGATATCTTTTATAAATAGCTTTTAACTGAATTTTTTCATCTAGTCTTATAATCATTGTCTTTTAACTGGAGCATTTAATTGACTTACATTTATTGTGACTACTGATATATTTGTATTTTTTCTGTCACTTTAATTTGTATTTTCAGTTCTTTTATCCTCCTCCCTACTCCCAAATCTCTTACTTGTTTTGGATTGATTGAATTATATGTATACTAGAGGCCCGGTGCACGAAATTCGTGCACTCCCTCAGCCCAGCCTGTGCCCTTTTGCAGTCTGGAAGCCCTCAGCTGCCCCATGAGCAGGCCTCCTAAGCCATCAGTTGGGCATCCTTAGCACTGCCACAGAGGTGGGAGAGGCTCCCAGCACCGCCACTGCGCTCGCCAGCCATGAGCCCAGCTTCTGGCTAAGTGGCGCTCCCACAGTGGGAGCGCACTGACCACCAGGGGGGAACTCCTGTGTTGAATGTCTGCCCCCTGGTGGTCAGTGCACGTCATAGCCACCGGTTGTTCAGCTATTTGATCAATTTGCATATTAGCCTTTTATTATATAGGATAGTTCTTACTATATTTCTAGCTTCTTTAGTTCCAAAGGCATATGGTCATTTTTACATATAAATAGGAATTAGAATGTTAAGCAAGCACACAATTATTTTTGACATTTTAAAATGCTTACTTAACAAAGTTGAAAGATAATCAACAGTAATTCTCTACATAAATAATAAAAGGACCCCCTCAAGCTATATGCTATTTTGGCCAATGTTTTAATTTCTTCTTGTTTTTTAAAAATCCATACATTTGGTATTATTATTTTATGCATTTAATATTTGTTTGTTTAAATTTAACCACATATTTACTAATTTAGTTGCTCATCAAACCTTCTTAGACCTTTTATCTAAGATCATTATCCTTCTGCTTGAAATACATTCTTTATTATGCTTTTTAATAATAGTGAATTACAAAAACACTCTCATAATTGGTTGCACATTAAATAATATATTATTTAAGAATGTATATGTTTGTAGTAAATACTGTTATCATAAGTTTCATAATAAATGGCTCTGGAGGGGAGAAAAGATGAAGGTATCAGGAAGAGCCAGATAAGGGGTGGGGCGGGGGGAAGGAGACTTCAAAGATACTTAATGTTCTACCATATTTCATTAATTTTGACAAACCAATTTTTTTAGGAATAAAAAAGCACATAACTTCAGATGCAGCACAAATTAAGAAAACATTTTGAATAATTTTATATCAATAAATTTTAAAACTTAGATAAAAATGTATAAATGTATAGAAATATATGAATTACTAAAATTGACTCAAGAAGAAATAAAAATACCTGAATAGTCCTGTATTTTTAGTGTTTCCTGAAAAAAGGATTTGCATTGCTTCTGCCTGGCACACAGGTGCATAACTAGCCAATGATCACAAACAAAATACAAAAATATTGTGAATTTAGCTATGAATGCACTTAACAACTAGCCTATATTTATGAATTCTTGGTCCGCACAGGTAACTTTGAAGTTCCAGTTTCATATGACAGACTTTTATTAGATTCTCCTCTTGAGAAGGCTTTTTCTGCTATTTTTTGTGCCCCAAATGGCCAACAGAATGGTAAATCAGAGTCACCTGGGTTGAGTGTGTCTCTTCAAGGTGAAAGCTAATTGTGTCCTTGCTTAACACCATTGCTGATTAAATATTTATGAGTGCATGTATGTGCATTTTCATCTCAGTAGTCTAGGCTAAATAATAATCCAATTTCTTCCCATAAAAATACTAAGTGTCTTTAGCTCAGATTTCCAATTCTGTTAATGGGAGAAGTCAATTGCTTTCCTGAGTTGCCGAATAACACCTTCTGTTGACCTGAAAATGAACTGCTTTTTAAAAAATGTATCTTTATTGTTGAAAGTATTACAGATGCCCCCCCCCCTTTTTCCCCCCATTGACCCCCTCCATTTTGCACGTGCCCCTCCCAGGCCATGCATATAAGTTCCCTGGTTAATCTCTCCACACACACCCCACCCCCGAATTCCCTCTGAAATTCATCAGTCTGTTTCATGCTTCTCTATCTCTGGATATATTTTGCTTATCAATTTATTTTGCTCTTTAGATTCCACATATAAATGATATCATGAGATACTTGTCTTTCTTTGACTGGCTCATTTCCCTTAGCATAATAATCTCCAGATCCATCCATGCTGTTGCAAATGGTAAGAGTTCCTTCTTTTTTACAGCAGCGTAGTATTCCATTGTGTAAATGTACCACAGTTGTTGTTTTGTTTTTTTTATCCACTCATTTGCTGATGGGCACTTAGGCTGTTTCCAAGTCTTAGCTATTGTAAATGGCGCTGCTATGAACATAGGGGTGCATATACTTTTTGTGATGAGTGTTTCAGGTTTCTTAGGATGTATTCCTAGAAGTGGAATACTGGGTCAAATGGGAGCTCCATTTTTAATTTCTTGAGGAAACTCCATACTGTTTTCCACAGTGGCTGCACCAGTCTGCATTCCCAACAGCGGTGTACTAGGGTTCTCTTTTCTCCACAACCTTGCCAACACTTGTTGTTGGTTGATTGGTTGATGATAGCCATTCTGACAGGTGTGAGGTGATATTTCATTGTCGTTTGATTTGCATCTCTCAGATGATTAGTGACTTTGAGCATTTTTTCATCTGTCTCTTGGCTTTCTGTATATCCACTTTGGAGAAATGTCTATTTAGGTCTTTTGCCCATTTTTTAAAACTGGATTGTCTTCCTTTTGTTAAGTTGTATGAGTTCCCTATATATTTTGGAGATTAACCTCTTATCAGATGTATCATTGGCAAATATGTTCTCCCATGTAGTGGGCTCACTTGTTATTTTGATGTTTGTTTTTTTTTTTTGCCGTGCAGAAGCTTTTTATTTTCATGTAGCCCCATTTGTTTACTTTTTCCTTAGTTTCCATTGTCCTAGGACAGTGGTCGGCAAACCGCGGCTCGCGAGCCACATGTGGCTCTTTGGCCCCTTGAGTGTGGCTCTTCCACAAAATACCATGTGCGGGCGCGCACGTACAGGGAACGTTGTGGAGTGAAAGAAGATGTAGTGTCGAGGATTGAGAAAGGTATGTTGAGATGGTTTGGACATTTAGAGAGGATGAACGAAAGGAGATAGACGAAACAAGTATACAAGACGAGTGTGGATGGGAGAGTTGGAAGGGGTCGACCTCAGCGAATGTACCTCAATCAGATTGAGGACGTTTTTAGCAAAGGCCAGTTTAGGAGTACCCTAATTAAGTTAATAACAATGTACCTACCTATACAGTTTAAGTTTAAAAAATTTGGCTCTCAAAAGAAATTTCAATCGTACTGTTGATATTTGACTCTGTTGACTAATGAGTTTGCCGACCACTGTCCTAGGAGATGTTTCGGTAAACATGTTGCTATGAGAGATGTCTGAGATTTTGGTGCCTATGGTTTCTTCTAGGACTTTTATGGTTTCACGTCTTACATTTAAGTCTTTTATCCATTTTGAGTTTATTCTTGTGTATGGTGTGAGTTGGTGATCTATACAAAGACATTTTTGAAGAGATATTTTATTTAGACCTTTTGTTGTTTTTAGTGGGAATGTATCTAGTCTGCCATAAGGTTGAAAATAGTTGTCCTTTATTTTCGTGTTAACATTAATACAGTATTTACCATTCATTTAAGGTATCTCCACTTATTCTTATGAACATCAATTCTCTTTTTCCTTTCTTTTATTTTACTAAGGTTCTTAAGTTGGGCATCAAGAGGCCTGGATTTTATGGTCTCTGAAACCTTGTTTTCTCATCTACTAATGGTTAGGCAACTGTTATTTCCAGCACTGGCCATGGTTCTGTGAGTTTATCCATCTGTTTGTATGCCTTGTCTTCTGGTACATTCTGTTTCTCCTTCTGTCTCTATAATGCTCCACATTGGAGGGGAGTCTTAGGGAGGGCAGGTACACACCAGAAGGAGTTGCATTAGTGGAGGGAGTTTCTGACCTCTAAGGAATGAAGTATGATATCCTCTATAATCTGAGCCAAACTTTTGCTGTTCCCTAGGTGTCATCTGCCTCTTTCAAGAAGCCTGCCATAGGTGCCATTTATTACGCATTTCCCAGAGTATCAGGGAGACTCAAGAGAGTCCACACTTGGAGATTCTGGAGAGTTTTGGAGGAGGACTGAGCTCAATGCAAAAGGAGATGCTGCTGAAGGAAGAGACAGTTATCTAGTCCCGGAGAGTCTGTCCTCTAACCTTCATCAAGCTGTGTGAGTGCACGTGTGTGGGTGGCACTCCCTTCTCTGCCAGTCTCTGCTACTTTTAATAAGCTTCTTGTGTATCAAATGAATGCTCCACTTCCCTATACAGTGATTCTATTTTGATCATATTTGACTTTTTTTTTATTTGGGATTTTTGAATTCTTCTGAGTCTCTTGAGTGATCTCTCTCCTTCCCTCCTCCCACCCTCTCTCCCTTCCTTTTTTCCATTCTTTCTTTTTTTGCAGATGTTTTCAATAAAAGAAGGACTACTGTCTGTTAATCCATACCTCAAAAACCCAGCCTGGAGGGCAGGAGGGGAGGGAGTTATATTATAAAATGATTAAGTGAAATGATCTTTCATAAGACAAAAACCAAACAGAATGTAACCACTACAGGTGTTTGAGTTAGTTATATTAAAAAGAAAAAGTGATTTCCCCATACAAAAGTGTGACTTGGTACAGAAAACGTTTCCTTCCTTTTTTTTTATTCTTTAATCTTCACCAGAGGCTATTTTTTCCCATTGACTTTTTAGAGAGAGTGGAAGAGAGGGAGAGAGGGAGAGGGGTAGAGAGAGGGGGAGGGAGAGGGCGAGGGCGAGGGGGAGGGAGAGGGAGAGGGAGAGGGAGAGAGAGGTGTGAGAGAGACAAATTGATTGATTGCCTCCTGCCTGGACCAAGGCCAGGAACAAATCTGCAAACCAGGTATGTGCCCTTGACCAGAATCAAACCCATGGCCCTTTGGTGTGTGGGCCGGTGTTCTACCACTGAGCCACACCAGCCAGGGCCAGAAAACTTTTCGTAAGTATGTGTTGGGAGGAAGAGTTGGAGTGGTTAAAGGTGAAAACATCCCCAGGACTGAATTCCAAGGTCTGGAAGCCTGAGCCTAATGAGTCTATGCCCCTGAGGAAAGCATAAAGCAATGTATTGGCATTCCATCCTTCCACCAGAGTCAGAAGCCTCCTGAGTGCACCTCTAACATGCCCTGTTCACATTCCTGATGGTGCTTACAGACTGAGGAGCGCTCAGCCTACCAGCTAGGGTGGGGGTAACTGGGAAGTACAAATCCTTTGGGGCAATGGGGAGGCCAGAAAGGTGATCCTAAGTAACTGCCTCCCCACTTCCCTCTCAAAAGAACACACATATGGAAAGCTCTTAGAACTTAAGTAGTGTAAATTCAAAAACAAGTACCGGGAGCCCTGTACATCTTTCTGAAGAAATGTGATGGACGTAGCTAGAGTCAAGTGGGCTCTGCTGTGACTGTTAGCGTTCATAAAAGGTTGACCTTGTGCTGTGCACCTTGGGGGTGTGCAGAGGTATCAGAATCAGTTTCTGTTCCCTAGAGGCTTACACCCAAGCAGAGGAGCTAAGACATATACACCTGAAAAACAGCCACTAGGTGTTTTAATTATATTTTTTTAGTTTCTTATATTTCTCTCCAAAAGGTATCTTGGGAATTTCTTACAGTGATATGGTGACAGCCTAGTTCCAGTCATCTTGCTTATGTTCCTAAAAAAACCCATATAGGAACTATAATTATCAGTTAAACTGGGAATAGAGAAAATCTGCAAACTAAAATATGTAATTGTGGCCCAAACTGCCCTACACCAACGGAGCCAATATGGGAAGTCACAACTGGAAGAGTGGCATGGTGGGTACAGTGGGGTGGGTCAGACAATATATAGGGGTTGTAGTGGTGGCAAATTCCAAAACTCACTAGCAAATAGTAACCTTCAGGTGTCTGAGAAGGACCCACTTTGAGAGGGAATGGCTACGAATAGGACAGAGGAGAAACATGGGACATGTGTGTTAGGGAGACAGAGAAGGCATGGAATGTGCATGGGAGTCTATAAAGGGAAAGTTTTAGGAAGCACCACTTGCAAAAGAGAGGAGACTTCCTTGGAAGTCAAATGACAGTATCCTTTGATAGCAATGACTGATGAAGAATAGGAGGAAATGAGCGATAGTACACGCCGCCCCTTTGAACTGTTAGGATGTAAGAACCAGAGGAATCCTGGCGACATGGGAACTATATATTAAAGAAAGTATCCCTCAATGTAACAATGGAAGAAAAAGCCCTCATACCGAGAAACTGGGAATGTTCTGCTACCTGACTCTTTCCTCAGTATCCATCTGCAAATAGCTGTGATCCAGAAAAATCAAACTCGTTCAAATAAAAGAGTGAAACAGCAGTATCAATACAAGAGCATTATAGGAAAAAGCAGAAAGAGAAGCAAAAGTCTGGCTATGAAGAAAACTCACCAAAAAGTGTTATCACAAAGTAGAGGACAATTAAATCCAGCACCAGGGCACGCGAAATACAACACCCATTGACTCACTGGGCTGTAAAGCCCCTAGACCAGCGGTTCTCAACCTGTGGGTCGCGACCCCTTTGGGGGTCGGACGACCCTTTCACAGGGGTCGCCTAAGACCATCAGAAAACACATATATAATTACATATTGTTTTTGTGATTAATCACTCTGCTTTAATTATGTTCAATTTGTAACAATGAAAATACATCCTGTATGTCAGATATTTACATTACGATTCATAACAGTAGCAGACTTACAGTTATGAAGTAGCAACGAAAATAATTTTATGGTTGAGGGGGTCACCACAACATGAGGAACTGTATTAAAGGGTATGAGGGTATGAGGAAGGTTGAGAACCACTGCCCTAGACCGAGAGGGAGGCGCAGTGCCCGGTGTACGTCTGCAGAGCCCTCCCCACAGAAGGGAAGCAGGTGGAAAGGCATGGAGGCGCTAAGGGGTCTGGAGACCGAGAGCCCGGAGGAAACCAGGTAGCCAGGGAAAGAGCCCCTCGCGGTCCCACGGGCCCCTGAACGGTGCCTGGGGATGAGCGACCATCGAGTCGCCCCGACCTCCGAGAGTCCTAGAGAGGAAACGGAAGAGACCCTCCCCTTACGCACCTGTCTGACAGCGTTCGCCTACTTCCGGTCCTCGGAGGGCACTGGGGAACTTGGCGCGGTTGCGGGGCCTTGGGTGAGAGTCGGGTTGGGGCCACGAGGCGCGGTGGTGGTGGGGGCGCTGG